GGGCAGGATTGCTTCGAGAGAAGGATCATGGGCACTCTTGCATTCTACAATGAGGGCTCAAAAATAGCCAAGTAAAAATCTATTAATTGTCAGAATTTCAGAAACAAAACGTTTCTATTTTAACATCTTCCAAAACACATCTGCTTAGAAAGTCTTTACCAGCTGTTGAAGTCTGACAAATAAAATATAACAGTTACAGAAGTCTCCTCTGTGCCGCGAGGGCACAAGGTAATCTCTCCTTCCAGCAGGTTACAGGGGGTGTAGTAACAGGTGTCACGATTTGTAAATAACGTTTTATTTTGTTTCTGAAAGTGTGGAAAAGAGTCAGCATCAGCTAACATTATTTTAGGAAGCAAATTCTTTCAAATGTATTTAAAGTAAATGAGTAAAAATAAGAATAGTTCGATATTTCTGAGAATTGTGTCGGTTTTAAAAGCACAGGGTTTTCTCAACCTCAGCACTAGTGACATTCTGGACTGGATAATTCTTTGTTGTCCGGGGTTGTCCTGTGCAGTGCAAGATATTTTGTAGTATCTCTGACTTTACCCACCACACGCCAGTAGCACCCACACGCCTCCACACCCTCACACTCCCCAGCCCCCCAGTGTGACAACAAAAGTGTCTCCACACACTGCTAAATGTCCCTTAGAGTGCAGAGCTACCAGTTTAGAACCATTTCTTTAGCCAATTCCAGAGAGTAAACAGAAGATGAGTCAATATGAATTGCTTTAAAACGCATTAGAATTTTCAGAAAAATTAGTCGTCAAAGGTATCAGGAAGACTAAGATAATGAGGACGAAAGTTACCGTTACAATGTCATACATAAATCATGTTATACAGTCCAGAAAAATATGGAGGATTTACTTTAATCTTTTTATTGGTAATCCTGAAAAGTAACTAAAATGTTTAGAAACTTTTTTAGTTACACTATCTCATTCTGTAGATGGGGAAATCTTGTTATTTTTCTGCGTTAGAGGTTGCTTTTCAACCAAGAGTTAGCCACTTCAGGGGCTGGGTGAAGTAAGCAACTGAAGACCAGTTAACTAGGTCATCTTTGAGCAGGTGGAATCAGCGTAGGTGTGGAGAGGATGAGCCTAGAGTATAAGACTTCTGAAATAAAGACTTCAGACATTGTTATTAGCTGGACTTCAGCTCAGATGCAGTACTTCCATAATTCCCAGCAGCATTGCGACTCGAGCCTCCCACGTTTCACTTGCAGTCTCTGCCCTCTCTAGCCAGCACTGCTAGACAAGGAATTGAAATCAAAAGATTCAAAGAGTCATAGTCTGTGTCACTAACTTGGTTCTTGGATAGAACAAAAAGCAAACCTTCTGTGCAGAAGCACAGTATTAGTATGAATACATTGTTGTTGAAAAACTATTATTAAAATAGACTTATTACTAAATTTAAAATGCATTTATTTTGTTTGTTTTGTTTTTTCAGATTTTCCCTGAGCTAACTTCTGTTGCCAGTCTTCCTTTTTTTCTTTTTTTTTCCTTTTTTTTTTGCTTGCGGAAGATTAGTCCTGAGCTAACATCTGTGCCAGTTTTCCTCTACTTTGTATATGGGATGCCTTCACAGCATGGTTGATGAGTGGAGTAGGTCTGTGCCTGGGATCTGAACCCAGGAGCCCAGGCTGCTGAAGCAAAGCGTGCAGAACTTTACTCGGCCACGGGACCAGTCCCTAAAATGCATTTTTAAAGCACAGGATTGTGTTAGGAATCACGTTTAGAAATATGACAGTGTAGTATATTTATATCAGTATCAGGATCTTTATTTATTTCATCATCATGGAATCTGAGAGTTAAAGGGTATCTTAGAAATCCTCTCATCTAATCTGCATTGATTTTGCATACTTCCACCCACTGAGCTGGCTGAGCCTGAGGAGACGTAGACACTCTCCTCAAGGATCTCAGTCTAAAGCAGTGATTCTCAACCTGAGTATCAGAATCTCTGCAAAGAGCTCTTATTTTGAAAAATACATTTAATATAATTTTTTAATGTGATGCCTATCATTCTTATAATATAAACTATGTATACTACATAAACCATAGAAATAAAGCAGTGGCAAGAAATGGGGTGGTAATTGCAGAGGAGTATAAAGTCTAAGGACAGGTGATTGATTTTTTTTTTCAGTGGGAGACAAAGTGTTTTGCATACTGATAAGAATGATCTGTACAAAAGAGGAAATTGGTGGCGCAGGCGAGGAATGGGACTGCTACTAGAGCTGTGTTCTTACGTGCGCAGGAGGGGAGGGACCTGGCGTACTCTTGAAAGGACCAGCCTGAGGTGGGACTGTGGCACTTCGTCAGTGCGCAGGAGGGGAGGGACCTGGCGTACTCTTGAAAGGACCAGCCTGAGGTGGGACTGTGGCACTTCGTCAGTGCGCAGGAGGGGAGGGACCTGGCGTACTCTTGAAAGGACCAGCCTGAGGTGGGACTGTGACACTTCGTCAGTGGGAGCAAGAGTGAGACAGACATGAAGGTACAGGAGTGGCAGGCTGGTTTGCGTTTAGGTGGGAGAATGTGGAACTTCTCTTCTCCTCTATATTCTCAGTGAAATAAGAAGCAGGGTCATAAGGTGAGAGTGAAGAGAGTGAAGAAGTTGCTGTGGTTTGAGGGAAAATAGTCATTTAGGAAAGTACAGAAACGAACATTGCTGAGCAAGGCTGCTGCGGGCACGGCGCACAGCTCAGAAACGAACATTGCTGAGCAAGGCTGCTGCGGGCACAGCGCACAGCTTCAGGGAGTGGTGTTCGTGTTGACTGGAGCAGATGACACCCTGGAATTGAGCAGTGCGGCAGCCCTTTATGGAGAACACAAATGTAGATAAATGAAGACCCAGTTTATGCAGCTTAGGATAAAATTTCAGTAACAGAATTGTTCTTAGATTCAAAAAATACAATACCAAAAACAACTTGGGTAGAAGGGAAGATGATGTACCGTGGGACATGGTTTTCATATTTTTGGCCGGTTTACCCCTTAAAAGAATTTTGAAAAAGTATGTACCCCCTTGTATAATTTTACAGTGATGCCTAAAAATATTTTCTATAACTTTAAGTAGTTGCAAAGGATATATTTTCTGGCATATCACATAGTACATATTTACTGTAATTATATTTTTATAAAAATATAAAGACAACTCATTCTATTGGAGGTATAGGTTTAGCTCATTCAATTTATAAAAAGTGTGTGCCGTAAAGTACAATTGACAAAGCCATTTCTTGTTATCAGTCAGTCAAATCACGCTTTTTGTCAGAAAAAGTTATATTTAATTCGTATTTTGCTTGGTTCCCCCAGAGACTTTTATGCTCCAGGACCGTACACCATAATAAGATCTGAAATCAATTAGAGAATATCTTTCTCTTGTAAAGTGGGAGAAGGACAAGTCAATTTTAGAAGAGTGCTCGTATGGAAGTTAGGGTCTGGAAGGGAATTTTCCTAAAGCTGTATGTGCCCGTCTGCACCATGGAGAGACTTCAGTTACCCCTGGGTGAACGCGTAGCAGTTTGAAGACCGCTGCTCTAGGACATGTAGATGATTCCCAAAGTGGCACTAAGGCTAACGAAGACATTGGTATCAAATGATGCCAAAAGTGGAATGAATTTGTCTCGTGAAATGTGAGAATGAAGGGGAAAAACAACTGTTCTTAATATTTTTCTAAAATATAGTTTTAAATGTTTGTGCAATTGAATTAATTCCTATTATAGACGTTTGATTATTTCACTTATATCTCTAGAATTTTATGTATTCAAATTGCCAAAAAGTATGTATCTTCTCATTGGGAAAAAGGGAGGATGACCTTATATGTGGCACAGAGGACATGTATGGTCTCCCCTGCTGTGTGTGGGTCTGCACTGTTAGTATTAGAGTCCTTGGGTTCCAGGGGAGAAAAGCTTCTACCAAGCCCTCCTATATTCTGGACCGTGGTAGTCGCCACAATTGGCTTGTCTCTAAGAATCTGAATTTCAGTGGACAAAAAGTATCAAAATTCTACTCTGGAATGTTCCAGAACAAAATTCAATGCATTACACACCCCAATTTTTATGTATTGCCATAATCGATGTGTATCTTATTTAATAGTCACATAAAATTTTTATTTTTTGTTTACTAGTCTGAGCCAAATAGTAAAATTAGAACATTACTGGTTCTAAAGTGGTAAAGAACATGGTTTCACTACTTAGATTAACTAATTAACAAAGTATCCCAAGGTCCCAAGCCCTAAATTCACCTAGTTTACTAAAAAATATTTACTAAAACGTAGGGGGCCGGCCCCATGGCCTGGTGGTTAAGTTCAGCACGCTCTGCTTCAGCACCCCAGGTTTGTGGGTTCAGATCCTGGGCATGGACCTACACCACTTGGCAGCCATGCTGTGACAGCATCCCACATACAAAATAGAGTAAGACTGGCACAGATTTTAGCTCAGGGGAGAATCTTCCTCAGGAAAAAAGGTATATATTTACTAAAAAATAAAAATAAAGGAAGCTGACAAAAGTCTGTGGATGGATCATGATTTTTATTGAAAAATCAAGGCATGTAACCTCTTGACATCATACTTAAGGAGAAAATATGAGTAATATTAGGCAAAACTCAGATGAAAACTTAAACTAAAAAGTCAGCTGTAAGGGTGTTTGTTTTTATGGAAGAGTGTAATTTTGTTTCTTTGGAAAATATTCCTAAATATTGAGGACTAGCCTTTGGAAGGTAGGAATATCATGACTTTCCTGTAGAATTTTAGTCCACACCCCATACCACAATCCCTGCTCTTACTCAGTACAAACACATTTTTCATATCAGCATATAAACTACATAACAATGAAGCTGGGGGTTTTGTAGATAATATGTGAAAATTTGGAGAAAGAATTCAAGTATTTTTAAAGCCATAAACTTAGTACTACTGAGGAAATAAAATTTTCTTTTGGTCACTTAGTATGATACTAATAAGTTGTTTTAAATCTGGTGAATTATTGCATTGTAATTCAGTATTTTTCTCCTCACAGGGCTTCACTATTTCAAAAATGTTGTGCTGGTGGGGTCTCTACAGGATCGCTATGTTCCTTACCACTCTGCCCGCATTGAAATGTGTAAAACAGCTTTAAAGGACAAGCAGGCAGGTAATGATGTCAATTATAAATTCTCAGAGAGGTCTGTCTACAAAGGAGCTTCTTCCCAAACTTTTCTTTAATCACCTTCTCTCTTCTCTCATCCTCATCTCTCCTTTTACTTCCTTTTCCACCTCCTGGTATCGACAGCTCTCCCTCCTCCAGTTGTCTTCCTGTCTTTCCTCCTGCCGTGTGAGATGCCTGTGCCAGTGAAGCAGTCACTGCTCTTATGAAAGAGCTCTTTCATCTAATTACAAATGCTTCTCCGTCCCACTGCCTCCAGTGTGATCTGAACTTTGGTTTCCTCCACGTTGTCAGGATTGGTGTTTGTAATAAAGGTTATGCTGCGAGCTAGTCTGTATCTCACGTTTAGTCAAAGTGGCAGCAAAGACTTGCTCCTCTTTAGTGATAGTGAATGATATAGATTATATTTACTCTTTCGCTATTTTTGAATAATAAAAGTAATTTAAATCATAGCTATTTGGAGCCAGAAGGAGACTTGAGTGCTGTTTGCTCATTTTATAACTGAGGCCCAGAGATGCTGAGTGGCTTATTCAAAGACACAGCAGTTAATTACAGGCATAGGGCAAGACCCTGGGTGTCCTGCCTCCCCGAGTTGCCTCACTTCCTTTGTTGGAATGAGGCTGATTTTAAATGCACTCTTAATCCTTTGCTTTTCCACAGCGTGACAATGACAGCTCCTTCAGGCAGGGACTCTCATGTACGTTTGTATTGGCATTGCCTGGTATGGTGACGGGCACATAGTAGGTACTCTATTCATTTAACAAACAATTTTGAGCATTTTGTGACTTGAGAACGACCCTTTTTTTCTTTTCTACTTTCTTTTTTACTTACATTCTTGCAAGGGTCCACTTAAGGGAAAAGGCTCGAGTCCACTTAGGGAAAAATTCAGCGTAAGTTTAATTTTCAGATGGGTCACTGAAACTAGATAAATGTCCTTTGTTTTAACAGTAAAATTCTGTGCCACTGGGGGACAGGGAATCTAATAAAGACAGGTTTGGACTTCTTCCCTTGTAAATATTTTTTAAATAGCATGGAACCAGAAATCCACCTTGACTCACAATGAAGACAAGAGGAGAGGTAGGAGTGAAAAAGCCTTCTGCGGATCTATGTGATATTAGTCTTTCTCTTAGACACCTCTCTCTGCTTTCTGTAATTGCATCTACACACTGTTCCCTTCTCATCCTTCCTCACAGCTACATCCTCCCTCTCCTCTGAAATTTAGTACTGCCTCCCTAAAATTCACAGGTTCCGTGGGTACGTGTTAGCACTCATCTGTTGATAATATAGTAATGCATAAGCATTAAAAACTGTTTTGCCCCTTATAAGGCAGCTTGTACTTTTATACGTATGTATATCTAACCTTTATCTTTTATATTTAGCATGACCTTAATAAATCCATTGTAAAAATTAATCAAAAAGAGGGAGATAGTACAGTTTTGGAATTAAAAGCAGAACCAAGCATTAAGTAAACCTTCAGACCAAAACAAAGATCTTTGAGCCAAACTCACGTTGTTCTTCTGACTACAGGAAGTTGCTGTTATTTCTCAAAATAATTGAGAAATATGTGGAATAGTGTTGACTGCCATGGAAGCATTCTTAAAGCGCTTACTATAAAGTTTTAAATTTTGCCTAATCAAAATGTCTCAGCGTGGCTACCTTGCTTTTATAATGGTTTAATGAGTCATAAGTAACTTACTGTTGAATAAAACTATTTGCTCTGTTATAGTTATAGCTTGGAATCAAAAATATCAAGTTGATAAGAATAGCATGTAATAAATTTGTGATTTTTACTTGGCTAGATAAATAATGTGATTATATTTTCTATAAAACAGTCTCAAAAATGATAGTCAAAGAAAAAAGAAACCTTTTAAAAGACATTTTTCTGCTTCAAATGGAAATAATGTAACTATAATTCATGAATTATACAAAAGTTGGCATAGAACTTTTTTCAGTTAGTCATGTGAACTAATTTTCCTTTTTTCTATTTGTTCCATAGGACAGATCTATTCAGAAATGATCCACAACTTGCTTCGCCCAGTTCTGCAAAGCAAGGACTGTAATTTGGTTCGCTATAACGTCATCAACGCATTGCCCAACACAGCTGATTCACTCATTGGGAGAGCTGCACACATAGCTGTTCTTGATTCGGAAATATTTTTAGAGAAATTCTTTCTGGTTGCTGCCCTTAAATATTTCCAATAGGATAAAAACGTTATTAGAGACTTGACAATTACCTCATTCAACAGTGATTCAAATAATGTATTAAACTGTAGATGCTGATAAGTTCTAAGAAATATTTATATCTTTTTATATGGAAGATAATTTATATCATCCATGTTTAGAGCTTTTTAAACATCAACTTTACTTTTTAGGTAATGTGGCTGTGCAATATTTTTTTAATTTTATCTTTTTACTTTTCTATTACTTTTTCATATATTTTGCTACATAAGTGAAATTTCAGTGAAACTTCAAGCCCATATGTATGTCTGATTGTTTATTATTGGCTTTCCACAATCCTCACATCAGACACATCATATTAGAGGCCATTATTGCTAGAATAGCATGGGATTTTAAATTTTCTAGTATTGGGGTATTATTTAGTTAATTATAAATTTTACTTTTAACATTTTACTATGTTTTAACTGGAAATAAAATTATGGCTGCTAAAATATATTTTTTGAAATCAACTATTTAGCCCTATCAAACCAGGTAGTTCATATATGACAATGTTATAAAAGTTTTCTATAAAAAGTCATTATTACTGTTGCTATTAAACATGTGTCATGCCTATGAAAATATATTTTCTACTGGTGATTTCAACATTATTTCTCATATTGACTTTTATTACTGGAACTTTTCATGTTCATGTTAGCAGCATCTAGAGATTCTGAACGTTTGAATGCCCTCTGGTTTGAATTAGTTGGAATGTTGCCAGATTTGGTAAAGTTGCTTGAACTTTCTGACTACATTTCTTTAACTTTTTTCACAGACTTCCTTGTATGTACATAATAATTAAATGTTGAAGTTTATGAAATACTTTTATGAATTTAGATAATTTTTAAATATTGTTAAAATTTGTTGAACTAAGAGTAATGTAAATAAAATAATTTGTGTTAAAAATGGAACAAAATAATTAACTGTACATGTTTGGTGATACAGATGCAAATGTTTTTGATATATGGAGATGTTAAGTCTTTTGACTTTACTAAAGGTGCTGAATAGCATTAAGTTCACCATTTCCTTTCCTGGTTTACTTGTGAAAATAATAATGCACTAAGGGTGGATAGAAGGTCTGTTTGCATTCACCAGTTGTGATGGACAGAAGGTTTTTGTAAGTATATATTGTATAATTGATGCATGTTTATTTTTAGCATTGTGTTATTGCCTCTGGTGTTAATAAATGAACAAGTGACTGTGTACAGAACAGCTAAAACACTTGCTTATTTTCAGAATACTAGAGGTATATTTTTATTTATAATTGGATAAACTATATCAGTGAACTCTATAGACCAGCATGATTGCATAACTTATAACCTTTGTAAAGTATTTTTATAATTTACATCTTTTCCATGTGTTAAGTAGTTAAAAGGTATTTCATTGATTGCTCTTCGTAATTCTTTTTAAAAAGTACTTGAAAATTCAATGAATTGAGTAAGCAGCAATATACCAAGTGTATTATAACTCGAAAATGTAAATATATGCATTATTCACCACATACTTTTGCGACACACATTTTCATCCTCACATACCTTGGCCCTGAGTTTGAAATGTCATGCTTATTCGAAGTTTGAATAATCTTCCAGGTTTATCAAAGGATTCATTCTTACTCATAATCATATAATTGTATTTAAGGGTAAATCACTCTTATGATCATAGTTGGTTGATTGGTTATTGGTTGTTTTAGTACAGTTTTAAAAGCACATCAATGATCGTGGTTTGAAATCTAACAGATTTAACTTCTGATTTACCAGAGAAACTTTCATATGCTATCTGCCTACAAATTCAGATGGGAGGGGTGGGTGGAGTAAGGGTTCTGAGGGAGAGGGGAAATGATTATCAGAAACAATATAATTGACTCTTAGAGAATGAATCTCATTAAAGTATGTACCAATAAGGATTCTTGGTTGCAGACAACAAAAAACCAATTAGGATTAACTTAGGCAGGAAAACAGTTTATTGGAAGAATATTAGATATATCGCTCACAGAATTGATGGAAAGGCTGGAGAACCAGCTTTGGAAAACAGAAACCAAAGGAAGCTAGATGACCAAAACCGTAGCCAACTTCCAGCCTCAGGGAGAGCTGCGAGTTTGTTTACTTCTGTGGGCGGTGAGGCCTCTGAAAACCGGATTCCAAACACCCTGCTTGTTTGCATCACTAGTTCCAGATTCAGAGACTGGTGGGAATGTCCAACTGACCAAGCTTATTTCGTCTTGCGCCAGCACTTGGGCTGTCAAGCATCAAAGACAGCAAGGATATGTGACCTTAGCTTCCACAGTAGAAGATGGGAACATTTCTCCTACCAAGATTCACCAAACATATGAAACGGGTTTGATGACTGAGCACCAAATACAAAACATATCAGAGGTCTGCTGTAGTCCATCTTGCCTCCGTATGGTTGCAAGAGTCTGCTTAATTTGTACAACTCAACATGTTATTTCGAGGAGGTATTCCAGGAGATGAGATGCCCCTGTCAGACTCCTCTCCCTACTCCTTTTTCCCCATGGTCATCAGGGCCAGTCACTCCAGCTGCACCATAACCACTTTTCTAACTCCTCACCTAGGGGAAGGAGCTAAAAATGAGCAGGAGGCAATTCCAGCTTCCAGTACAGAGGAAACATTGTATCCCCTTGCACACTCTGGGTACAAAAATTGGTATACCAACAGAACCTGGAGTTGTGCAGATGGACGGCAAGAGCAGTGAAGGGTCTGAGATTTTATCCTACTTGCAGCTTGCTTGCTGCAGTGTCGTGGATGCTGGCAAGAGACCGGAGACTCCTGGGTAAGACACAAAAATCTTTTTATTACAGCAAAGCAGTAGCCCAAGCGTCGCATGTTTGCACCGGTTCCTGGAGCCCCAGTTTCCACAGGGCTGTGGTGGGCCAGATGACACCCATACACACATCGGGTTGAGCGCAGGAGGAGAATCCAGGGCCACGCAGTTGTTGAGCAAGTAGCAAACAAGCCAGTCTCTCCCCTAGGGCAGCGGCAGTGAAATGGTAGTAATGCTCTGGCCGCCTGGACCCACGTAGGTGCCTGTGTTACTAGCTTCGGAAACTGTTGTGTCAGGAGATGGATAAGCCTCGCAGCTGGCATGCTCGGCAATAATATGCAGGGTGCTCAGGACCCACGGCAGAGTCTCTCCCCACAGTGGAAAGCAAAATATACGGGCACTGAGTCAGATGCAACAGCATAGCGTCAATCCCTCTACTCTTGGACTTTGTCACTGTGTCAACAAAAGAGATATCACTAAATACTGTTAACTCATTTGGAGCATATGCCGAATCCTTTACGACAGCATCCCAAAGTGTGTGTCTCATCTGGTTCCAGAAGGCAGCCTTCAATAGGGCTGTCCATTATTCTGTAAACCCAGTTGCTTCTGCTGCGATGGCATCAGTACCCTTCTTTACCTCTTTCACGGGAAAGTGAGTTCCTGGGTGAGAAGCAATGTCGTCTGGGATGCTGTATAAGCTGTGTGGAGTATAAGGTATTCAGTAGGTCCACAGATGGACTGGATGAAAGATCCGTAAGTTGGGGAAAGCAGTCCAAACCCAGAACAATCGTCTAGTCCTAGAGAAGTAGCTGGCTCCTTCATTATCGCAGGCTTCCACTGTAATCAGACCTGCCACCCAGGCTGTATAATCCTGTATCGGGAACAGGGTGGTCACTGCAAGTGCTATGCTGGGCGGTCAGTCTCGGCAGGGGAAGAACTGTTAGGAATACACGCATGTCTCCATGCCACGTGCCCCCTCATTAGTGGGCCCACTGAGCGAGCACAGCAGTGGTGGGGGAGGCGCCTGGCTGATGTCTCCAGGGGCTCATTGTGGTAGGCACCCCCACTGCTGGCCTTCATCCCTGCTGTAATCCCCTCCCTTTGAGAGTGGCTGGACCTACCCATGCACTTCTGTCAGAACACAGCAAACGTGATGGGGTCACATGGGAGATGAGGTGGCTTCCATCCCGAGCACTCTGGTTCTCTCGTCCGTTCACTCCGTGGAAGACCAGCCGCCACGCTGTGAGAGCACCTCTGGAGAAGCCCCGAAGCAAGGGACTGAGGAGCTGAGAGCCCAGAGGAGGGAAGTCCTGCCAGCAGTCCTGGGAGTGGGCCTGGAGGCAGATCCCCCTGCGGAGCCTGTGCAGGAGACAGAACCCCAGCCAACAGCCTGACTGCAGCCTCCTTTAAGACCTGCAGCCCCAGGCACTGGCTCCTGCACTGCCCACCCACAAACACTGTGAGAGAATAAACGTTTATTGTGTAAGCCACAACATTTTGGTATGTTAGGCAACAGTGGATCACCAGCACAGTCACAGGCAACAGTGGATCACTAGCACGGTCACAGTCAGGCGACAATGGATCACTAGCACAGTGACAGGCAGGTGACAGTGGATCACCAGCACCGTCACAGGCAGGCGACAGTGGATCACCAGCACCGTCACAGGCAGGCGACAGTGGATCACCAGCACCGTCACAGGCAGGCGACAGTGGATCACCAGCACCGTCACAGGCAGGCGACAGTGGATCACTAGCACGGTCACAGGCAAGCAACAGTGGATCACCAGCACAGTCACAGGCAACAGTGGATCACTAGCACGGTCACAGTCAGGCGACAATGGATCACTAACACAGTCACAGGCAGGTGACAGTGGATCACCAGCACAGTCACAGGCAGGCACAGTGGATCACCAGCACAGTCAGGCAAGCAACAGTGGATCACTAGCACGGTCACAGGCAAGCAAAAGTGGATCACTAGCACGGTCACAGGCAACAGTGGCTCACCAGCACCGTCATAGGCAGGTGACAGTAGATCACCAGCACCGTCACAGGCAGGAGACAGTGGATCACTAGCACAGTCATCGTGTCCTGGTTAAGAGCCCTTCTGCGACGGGAGCCAGACGTGCGTATGCTTTGGGGCCACTTCCAGAGGTCCTGCCCCGAAGCGCTCTCCAAACTCTGTCCATCGGCCGACCGCGTTGACGCCGCCCGCCGCCTCAGCCCGCCCTCCAGGCCGAGCGCTCAAGACAGAGCCAGAGCCAGTGCCAGAGCCAGCCCCGCCTCCGGAGGACGTGCCCCTCGGTCCCCGAGGCCCCGCGCCATGGGGCCCCGACGCCGCAGCAGCCGTGGGTCAGTGTGGGCAGCAGGCCGCCTCCGCGCACCCGCCACGCTGCAGCCGAGAGCCAGCCACGGGGGAGAGCGCGGCGCGCGCACCACCGCTGCAGCGAAAGGACGCCGGCGCGGAGGGCCGGCCCTTGGGGCGCCACCCGGTCGACAGGACCCCTACGTGACAGGACCCTCAAGTGACAGGACCCTCAAGTCATAGGACCCCCCACGGTGACAGGACCCTCACGGTGACAGGACCCCCCCCAGGGTGACAGGACCCTCAAGTGACAGGAGGCCCACGGTGACAGGAACCCTCAAGGTGACAGGACCCCCCCCACGGTGACAGGAACGCCCCCGGATGACATGACGCCCGATCTCCTCAGGTGTCCCCGCACCGCAGCGCCGCTGGACTCGAGGCGGCTCCCTCAGGGCGGCCGCACCAGAGCGCAGCGCTCCCCTCTTCTCCGAGAAGTGCCACTGCGGGTCCTCGGCTCCGAGTCGGAACCCGGACACGACACGGGGACACTGAGATGCTCCGAGACGGGGAACCGGGGAAAGAGCACGCCCACCCTCGCCAGAGGCTCTGCGGGGCCCCGCTGCGCGCGCCCTGAGCGGCCCCCTGGCCCGCGCTGAGGGGAGCGCACCCAGCCAGGACTCGCGGCCCCTGGCAGCGCGGCGCGCTCTCCCGGACCAGCCAGAGCCGCGCCCTCCTCCTTTCCCACAGCCGGCCCCACCCACGCGCAGGCCCCGCCCACACACGGCCCCGTCCCGCCTCAGAGGCCAGGCCCAAGCACAGGCCCCGCCCCCGTCACGGAGGCCCCGCCTCAAGGAAAGCCCGCCCCTCCTGTGGCGCGGGCCCGGGATACCCTTCCGGGCTGGACAGTGCACAGTGCGCGTGCGTCGGCGCCATGGCCTCAGTTGGGTTGTCCCGGTTACTCGGCTGCGTCCCGGCCGCGGCGTGGAGAGCGGCAAGTAAGGCGCCTGGCCCCGGTGCCCAGGTTGCGGGCGGGGTCGCCAAGGCCGAGGCGCTGCCTCCCGCGGGAGAGCCGCGTGTGTCGCGTTTCTCCTCTCGGGCAGGCGCCTGGCCGCCGGATCTCGCGGGGACCGAGCCGAGGGTCCCGAGGCCTTTCCTGTCCGGCGCACTCCGGCCTGAGGCTCGGCGCAGACGTTCCGGCGTCTGCGGGAGCTGCGAGTTCAGCACCAGTAAACGAGGGAGTGGGTCGTGGGGTCACTGGCGCGTTCACATCGGGAAGAAAGTGCTCCGTCCCGGGCGGAGACGGGAGGGGCGGGGTCCTCCTGCGGAGCGTGCGTGGTGCGAAGGCCGCCCCGAGCCGCCGCTCTGCCGGGCGCGTCTCACTGCGCGCTGCCGACCGAAGCCGCGGCGCGGGCCGGCGGTCCCCGCGCTTCCCTCCGCGCCGCGCCCGCGCCCGGCCTGGCGCTCGCCGGCGTGCTGCCTCGTCCCAGTCCCCGGCAGGCGCCTTGGACTGCTGTGTTCGTCCCGCCGCCCCCTCCGCAGGCCGGAGCCGCGGGCGCGCGAGCGTCGGGCCTTCACGGGAGGCCTCGCTGGGGTCTTCCGCGGCCGCTCGCCCCGCCCGGGGGCGCCGCGCTGAGGTGCGGGGGCGCGCGGCTGTCCGGGGCCGCCCTCCTGCCTGCTCCCCGGGCCGCGTGCCGCCGGGGCCGAGGGGACGAGCCCCGGGAGCGTGGCTCCTGCTCGCAGGCGCGTGCTGACCTGGCGTCTCTGCGATTCTGCGTTTGTCTCGATACAGAAGTTAAACATCCTGCCCAACATCTGCAGGCCTTTGTCGTGAAATCTCCTCGTCTTTGTCGTGGGCTTGTCTTGTTCGCGTTCCTTACGTGTGTGTGAGCGCTCAGCCTCCTGGCGGGGTGAGCGGCGGGGTGGAGTTGGGTTTGCGGGCTGCGCTCGTGGCCCGGCAGGCGTCTTAGGAGAGCCCCCGGCAGGGTCGGCGTCGCGGGGCCGCGCGGCTCTCGAGGCGCAGAGCGGCGTCGTTGCGCGGCGGTCCGGCCTCGGTCCTGCTGTTCTCGCCGCTGCCTGCGGTCTGCTCGGAGGAGGCGTCCCCTGCTTTCTCCTCCGGACGCTGGAGCCCTTGTTCCACCAGGAATGGGGTGCGAGGCGCGAAACCGGGTTCGCTTTCTGCCCGTGACAACCGCCGGGTGTCGGCGGTCTCCCCCCGGTGCCCCGCCAGCCGGCAGGACTCGGGGCTGCCCACGCGTCTGCGGGGCTGGTTCGGCTCTCTTTTCGGTTCCATGGATCTGTCTGTGCCTGGGCTGGACCGCCTGTCCTAACGGCCATACCTTTGTAGTAAATCTTGATCCAGCGCAGGAAGTCCTCCCGTCTTGCCTTTCACTAGCGTCTTCGCTGTTCTTGGGTATCCGATTTTCATGTCAAATTCTTAAAAATTCCTGTTGGGATTTGACTGATACTGCTTGATATTTTTTTTTTTTATTATCACTTTCTGATTGCTGCCTAGCTATAGAAACACAGTTGATTTATTGATTGATTTTTTATCCAGTGACTCAGCTAAATTACTTTATTGATTTAATTTATTTGCATATTTGAGGGAGTTGTTAGGTGGACACTCATATTACCTCAAAGAATAAAAATCTAGTTTCCCCCTTTCCGAATTTTCTGTCTCTTTCCTTTCTCTTGTTTTTCTGTCCTTGCTCAGCTGTGCAGTGCCACGCTGACTAGAAGTGGTGACAGCAGGCATACTTATGTCCTTGGTGATTCTAAACGGAACGCGTTCCCATTTCATCAGGTGTCCTATTAGCTGTGGATGTGCACCTTATTAGGTCACCGAGGTCCCCTGCTATTTGTAGAAGGGTTTGGGGGAGTTTTTTTCTTGTGTATTAGTCTATTGTTTAAGACTGAATAAATCTTGAAATTTACTGAATTCATTTTTCTTCATCTTCTTGGGGTGATCATATTTTTTGTCTTTAACCTGGTGAGTTGGTAAATTATAGATTTTTCTAATGCTGAATCACTTGTCTTCTTAGAAAATATTCAGACTGATCATGATAATTATATTTTTTAATGTAATGTTGGATTTGGTATGCTAAGGTTTTGTTTAGAAATTGGTCTATATTTTCCTCTCTTGCAATTTCCTTTTCTGGTTTTGGAATTAAAGTTATTCTAGCCGCATACAATGAATTCAAGTCTTCTCTCCCTTCCTCCTCTTTGTTAGATTTTGTTGAAGATGCAAATCACCCATTCCTTGAGTGTTTGCTACAACTTGCCTGTAAAACTATCTAGACTTCTTTTCTTTGAGGGAAGATTTTAAATTACTGGTGTAATTTCTGTAATAGTTATTATAGTATTTATCAGGTTTTCTCTTAAGACAGTTTTGATAAGTTAAATTTTTCTAGAAAATTGTTCATTTTGTGTACTTTCAGTATATAGGCATAAAGTTCCTGGTTTTTTGGTGTTTTGTTAATTTTTGCTCTCTCTATAATTATATACTCTCTTTTCCTCATATTTATTTTGCTTTCTCTTGTTTTTTTATATTAACTTTATCAAAGACTTCACGGTAGTTTTAGTCTTTTGAGAGAACCAGCTTTTGGTTTTGTTGATCTTCTCCGTTTTATGTCTTTTATTTATTTTATTATTTTCTTCCCTTACTGTGTATGTGTGTATAACTTTTAAAGCAGAGAGCAGCATGATCTAGTGATGGCTAGAATGGAAATAAAATACGTGTCATGAAAGAATGTTCTGATGATATGTAATGCTATCAAGAGCTTCCAGATGATTCTATAGTGATAATAATTGGTAAAATCTGTTACTGTGCTGAGTGCTTTGCATGAATTGTCCTGTTTAATCTATGTAGTGATCTCAGGAGATAGGTACTGTTATCTTCAGTGTGGAGGAGGGGAAGCGGATGCAGAAGGGGTCAGTAACTCGACCAAAGTCAGACAGCTAGTAAGTGTTCGTTTCCTGTTGCTGCTGTAACGAATTACCATAAACTTAGTGGCTGAAAACGACGTACAGTCTGGAGGTCAGAAGTCTGAAATGGGTCTCACTAGGCTGAAATCAAGGTGTCAGGGCTGCGTTCCTTCCAGAAGCTCTAGGGGAGAATCTGTTTCCTCCTTTCCCAGCTTCCAGAGGCTGCCCACGTTTCCTGGCTCGTGGCCCCTGCCCTCCATCCGCTAAGCCAGCAGTGTGGGTCAGGTCGTCTCCCACTGCCATCTCTCTGGTTCTCTCTTCCAATTCTCTTTTCCTCTTTCAAGGATCCTTGTGATTATGTTGCACCCACCCAGATAGTCCAAGAAAATCTCTGTAGTTTAAGGTCATCTGATTAGCAACCTTAATTCTGCCTGCTCCTCGAGTCTCCCTTACCGTGTACATTGAGGATAGGGGCAGAGGGAAGAATCTTCTCTGTACATCCTTTTGTACTTTTTGAACTTTGATAAATGTGAATGTATAAACTAAAAACAATTAAAATTTTTAAGTAGAATAAACGAACACCTCCTATTTTTCCACTATCCCCTCTGCTAGGATCACCCCTTCTGTGTCATTCTTTGAGGAAAACGAGTTCTTCTCAAGGAGGAAAGTCTGAACCTGTCAAGCAATCCCTTAAGAAGCCCAAGTTACCAGAAGGTCGTTTTGATGCACCAGAAGATTCCCATTTAGAGAAAGAACCACTGACAAGTGAGTATAGTAAAGCTCCTCTCTTAATTTTGGGAGTATCAAAGAAAGTGTTGTAGTTATTGAGGAAAAAAATGAGAGCAAAGAAACCTGTGTTGCTTGTAATTCTTTATTAACAGTAATAAAGCAAATTTCAACAATGAATAAAATTACTGTATTGACCATCAATATGTGTGAGTTAAAAAAAAGGATGTCCAAGCCCCTGACAGTGGTTGGTTGCGTTTCATTGTTTTGTTTATTATACCCCATTATTCATATAACTAAGTACATGAATTGGGACATACTTTGATGCAGATGACAGAAACCCACTTGAACGAACTTAAGCAGAAAGTGTGGCAGGTTGTTACTAGGATAGAGGGTGCAGATGAGGCTCCCCAGGGCAGTGATGCTGTCAGGACTTGGAGAAGCCTGGGACCTTGGGACCAAACACCATATGGAAACCAGGATGTTCTTCCTCCTGATCTCTTCTCTGGTCGTGCTCTGCCTTGTTTTCTGTCTCCAGACGCCCTTCTCAGTCCACTGGGCAGAGAGTAACTGCTCCTAGCAGCTGTTCAGTGCATGAGAGCCGCCAGACTGAGACTAGAATTTCTTAGTCCTAATTCCAAATTCCCTAAGAGGAGAGCTCATGGGCAAACTCAGATCAGGTGTCCACAGCCAAGTCATGCAAAGTGGCCAGCGGGGGCGGTCACACATGAAGGTGGTTGTTCTCACTGTGACCACATGGTTGGGGAAACAGAAGAGGAAGTTTGGAGATAAAGAGGTTTTTTGAGGCAGGTGGGTGATAAACTAAACATTATTTTCTATTCAGTACATAAAAATTCGGCTCATACCTTAAAGCTCTGGTTTTTAAAGTACTACTTTATTTTCATTTTATACCCTTTTGTACCTTTGAATTGTGGAACGTGTACAAGTATTATCTATTCAAAAAATAACATGTTAGGGCCCAGCCCCGTGGCCGAGTGGTTGAGTTCACGTGCTTCACTTTGGCGGCCCAAGGTTTCACCTGTTCGCATCCTGGGTACGGACATGGCACTGCTCATCAAGCCATGCTGAGGCAGTGTCCCACATGCCACAATTAGAAGGACCCACAACTAAAAATGCACAGCTATGTACTGGGAGACTTTGGGGAGAAAGAGGAAAAATAAAATCTTTAAAAAAAATAAAAATAACATGTTAGCATAAATGTCAACGTACCTCTCAGACCTTGGCAAGGCTAGCTTCTTGTCTGATCTTCCGCTCGTGTGAGAGTTCACCTGTCCATGCATCCCAGGCAAGAAGATGTCAGGAGAGGACACGGGACCTCTGTCTGGAGCTTTTTGTAGAATATAAAGGCTTTTGTTGTTTGTTCATTCAGTTAAATATTTCAGTTTATAGCACTTTACCAAGCCAAACCTAATAACCAGATCAGTCAACCAAGATGAAGGAGACTTTTAAAAAGTTGTCGTAATCTAAAGGTAAATTATTCTTCAATGGTTTGAGCTAAGCTCAAAAATCTGAGGGGAAATATTTCCTTAAGACATCACACAAAAGGAAAGTGGCAATCCCAGAAATAAACTCTCACATATATGGTCAGTTGGTTTTCAGCAAGGGTGCTGGCCCATTCAGTGGGGAAGGGACAGTTTTTTCAATAAGTGCTGCCAGGAAAGCTGGAGATCCATATGCAGAAGAATGAAGTTGGACCCTTACCTTATACCGTGTATAAAATTAACTCAAAATTTATCAAAGCCTAAATTTAAGAAGTAAAACTGTAAAACTCTTAGAAGAAAACATTGGGGAAAATCTTCATAACATTGGATTTAACAGTGATTTCATGGCTGTGACACCAAAAGCATTGGCAACAAATGCAAAAATAGGTAAATCGGGCATCATTAAAATTAAGAACTTTTGTTCGTCAAAGGATATTAGCAAGAAAGTGAAAAGACAACCTACAGAATGGAAAAAAATATTCACAAATCATATACCTGACAAAGGATTAATATTCAGAATATATAAAGAACTCCTATAACTCAACAACAACGAAAAAACCCAGTCTAGTTCAAAAATGGGCAAAGGATTTGAATAGACATTTCTCCAAAGAAGAGATACAGATGACTAAAAAGCACATGAAAAGATGCTCAGCATCACTGAACATTAGGGAAATACAAGTCAAAACCACAGTGAGGGGCCTGGCCCATGGCCAAGTGGTTAAGTTTGTGTGCTCTGCTTCAGCGTCCTGGGATTCACCCGTTCAGAGCCTGGGTGCAGACCTACACACCACTCATCAGGCCATGCTGTGGTGGCATCCCACGTAGAAGAACTAGCACAACCTACAGCTGAGATATATAACTATGTACTGGGGCTTTGGGGAGGAAAAAAATAAAGAGGACGATTGGCAACAGGTGTTAGCTCAGGGCTGCTCTTCCTCACCAAAAAAAAAGCATACTTAAAAAAAAAAGTTGCTGTTGAGTTTGAAGTTCTGGTGGAAAATCTTTTAGGAAAAAAAACAATGAGAGGCCACTCCATTAGGCCAACCTATTAGGATGGTTATAATTTATGAAAAACTAGAAAAATAACAAGTGTTGGCAACAATGTGGAGAAATTGGAACTCTAGTGCATTTCTGGTGGAGATGTAAAATGATGCAGCTGCTATGAAAAACAGTTTGGCGATTTCTCAGAAAGTCAAACATAGGATTACCATGTGACCCAGCAATTCCGCTCCTCGAATGTATCTAAAAGAACTGAAGGCAGGGACTTGAACAGGTTTCTGCACACCGGTGTTCATAGCAGCTTTATTCACAATAGCCAAAAGGTGGAAACAACGTAGGTGTCCATCAATGGATGAGTGGATAAACAAAATGTTGTATATACATACAGTGGAATACTATTCAGTCAGAAAGGAATGATGTTTTGATATATGCTGCAACATGGATGGAGTTTGAAAACATTATGCTTAGTGAAATAAGCCAGACACAGAAGGACAAATATTATATAATTCCACTTATGTTAGGTACCTAGAGTGAGCAAATTCCAAAAGACAGAAGGTAGAATGAAGGTTTTCAGGGGAGAAGGGGAGGGGCACAGGGGTTTCTGCTTAACAGGCACAGAGTTTATATGGGGATGATGGGCGTTTGGGTATAGATAGTGTGATGGTTACACAGCATTGTGGATATATTTAATGCCACTGAATTGCACACGTGCAAATGGTTAAAATGATAAATATTATGTTAGATATATTTTCCACAATAAAGAAAAAAGAAAGCACATTTTAATGGGTAATCAGCTATTTGACACAATGCTAGGCATTCACCTTAATTTTGAGTCACTGAAGTTTATGCGGAACATAACATCTCTTAGAAACTGGTGTGGCAAACATCACCAAATCCAGCAGATGCTCTTCAACCCTTATTTTATTTGAACTGTCTACAACCTTTGACAGTGCTGACCACTGCTTCTCAAAATCTCCTGTCTTGGTTCAGGTTGCATTTTCACCAGTTTCTCATCCTTTTTCTTCAACCACTTCTTCTTGGGCTCTTTTTTAAGCCTTTTTGCCTCTGCCCAACCCCTAAAAGTAGGTATTTGGCAGACCTCTGTCCTTAGCTCCCACAGCACCCCCAGGGAGAGCTCATGTCGTCTTAAGGTGGTCTAAATACCATGTCTGTGTTGCTGGTTCACACATGTGTACTACGTCAGACCTCTCTCCTGGAGCTTCTCCTATCGCCAACTGCCTTCTGTACATCTTTGTTTGCATATTTCAAATGTATCTCAAAATTAATACGTTTAAAACTAAACTCATCCTCTACCCATTGTTCCCTCCCAGCAGGCTCACCCCAGGCCTCCTCTTTCTGGATTTCCAGTCTACCCCATCTGCCAGTCACCCAGGCCTGAGATCTGGGCTGCCTCTTCTTGTCTCCTGTATCTAGTCACTAACCAAGTCTTGTTGATGCTACGTTCTTAACATCTCTCGGATTCTTCTCCTTGTGTCCGTTCTACCAGTAAAGCCCAAATTCATGCTCTTTAGTTCTGTTGGTCTCTGAACAAGTCTGTCTGTCTGCTTCCTTTTTCCTTCGTTCTAGTTCTGTCTCCCTGCCTCTAGTACATACTTTGTTCTAAGAAAAATTTATAGGTCACCTCTTTGCAGAGATTAGATTTTGTTATTAAGGTGTTAAAGGAAGATTGTTTGCAGTCAGGTATGCTGCTTGATGCAAAGATGAATAAGAACGGAAAATGAGATACATAAATGACTATGAACGGGACCTCATGTGATAACTGGCATGAAAGAGACACAGAAAAAGATCAGAGAAAGAAAGAAGTGTTAACATTTGAGCTGCGGTTTAAAGGAACAATAAAATTGTGCTAAGTAGATAAGGAGAGATGGGGATGTTTCAAAAAAGAGAGGTACGGTCAACAAGGCTGAGGAACATGACACATGCAATATGCAGCTAATGGGCCTCTCTGGCTGCGACATGAGGTGTCCATAGTGGACCAGTGGAACATAAGGCCAGGAAGAGGGATTTGGCTCAGATCTGGGGGGGCCTGAGTGCAAGGTAGCATGTGGGCTTCATGCAGTGGACAGTGAGGAGAGCGCTGAATGCTGTCGGACTGAGATTGTTTGATTCAGTTCTACTAAAGTATAATCTGCATATAATAAAATTCACCCATTTTAACAGTTGAGTGAATTTTAAAGGTTTACAGTCGTGTGACCAACACAAAGTATGAAACAGTTCCATCCCCGGGGTCCTTTGTGCCTCTTTACACTTAGTCTCCTTCCTCCATCCCCCTGGCTACCACTGATCTGTTCTCCATCACTGTAGTTTTGCCTTTTCTAAGACCTTATATATCAGGATTCATACAGCACGTAGTGTTTTGTGTCTGGCGTCTTTCACCTAGTGTAATGTGGAGGAGGGATTCTGTTGTGGAAAGATTAATTCAGCCTTCTGTGGTGGTTAGGCTCAAGCCGTGAGAGTTGGAAAACAGAGATGAGTTAGAAAACTATTGCCTTGGGACTGGAATGGGACTCAGAGCATGAGCCATGGTGGTGGTGAGGAGAATAAAGTTACAACAAACTATCTCATAATGAGAGTGAAAATTAGGTTAAACATGAGGAAGAAGAGAGACGGGAAGATAGGAGGCTGTGGTCAGAAAGAAGAGAGCCTGGAGTGTGGGATTTGGAAAAGGAGCATATTCAGAAGATGATAAAGTCCAAGCGGCTGGCAGAAGTGGAGAGCAAGGTCACTACACAAGAAGATTGGGGACCCTGGGGCCCCAATATGCAATGGTTCCTCAGTGTGGATATTGATATTAAGGATGATGGGGGGAGAGAGATGCGACTGTGAACCAAGTATTGATCCATCCAAGAAGGTAGAAGACTCTGAGTTTATTACAAGACTGGAGGAAAGCATTGGGCACGTTGGTGGCATGGAATCCGAAAGAGGGCAGCTGTGGAGGTTTGATGGTAGAATGAGAGGCTGGAAGTAGCAGCAGGGACAGGGACATCTTGACCTCTTTCTTCCCGGTGCTATGGACTGAATTGTGTCCCCCTAAAACACATGTTGAAGCTTTAGCCTCAGTGCAATGGTGTGTGGAGATGGGCCTTCAGGAGGTAAGTAGGGTTAAATGAGGTCATGAGGGTGGGGCCCCCAGGGTGGAATTAGTGCCCTTATAGGAAGAGATGCCAGAGAGCTTGCTTGCTCGCTGTCTGCCGTGTGAGCACACAGTGAGAAGGGGCCGTCTGCAGCCAGGAAGAGAGCCCCCGGCAGAACCCAGCCGTGCTGGCACCTGATCTCAGACTTCCAGCCTCCAGCACTGTGAGAACATAAGTTTCTGTTGTTTAAGCAACCCAGTCTATGGCGTTTATGGTAGCCTGAGCTGACTAAGACACCAGGTGAACCCCAGAGACACGGGAGAAAGAATAGCTTCCCTTAGAGAGGCTCCCAGAGGAAGTCAGAGCAAGGAGTTCTTCAGAAAACGGAATGAGGAGGAGGGTAAGGGTGAGTTTATTCATAGTAGGAACAGGTAAAGCCCTTTATCCTGTCCCGTAAGATTATTATGAGGGTTAGTTGAGTTAATATGTATAAAGTGCTCAGAATTGGGCCTGACTCATTATGGGTATTCCTATTGTAAGCACACAGTATTAACAATAATGTCTGCTGTTATGTCCATAAGAGGCGGTACCAGCTAACCAGCTGCTGAAACCTGAACTCTATGATAAGGAGCAGTACTCACAGCTGAAATTGTGTCCCTGGCACTGTGCCAGCCCTTGACATGCGTCACCCTGTTTAGTTCTCAGGACAATAAGGCATTTTACTGGTAAGGAAACTGAAGCATTGAGTCAAAGTCAGCATCATTCAAAACCTTGCACACCCTGTGGATCTGAATTCTGTGTTTTCTGCACCCCTTCCCTTCCGTTTTAATCCAGCAGCACATCTGCAAGCGCTCCCCAAATCGGAGCCTGAGAGCGCTCTGAGAATTCTAAGTCACTAATGTGAGGAGTAAAGTAGATTGAATATAGAATTGTATCCTAAAGTGATTTGTCAAACTCAGGAAAAAGAGCCACAGCTACGGTTCATGTTAAGACTGCATAGTAGGCTAGTTTGTGCCACCTAGCCGGCTAACTATAACTCTGCCAACTGTCTTCAGAATTGCCCACGATGCTTTTCCAGCCTCTGTTGACTGCTGTGTTCACATCTTCTTTCTTTAGAATTTCCAGATGATGTTAATCCTGTTACCAAAGAAAAAGGTGGACCCAGGGGCCCGGAACCTACCCGCTATGGAGATTGGGAACGAAAAGGACGCTGCATTGATTTTTAAGCCATGTATTCTTTACCTTCACTATCTGTTTCTGAATATGCACATCTGAATTAACTGATTACTTTATTTTTGTATATCCTTTAAGTCATCTAATTTCTATAATGTGTTTAAAAATATATATGATGGCTTTGGAAGAAAATATGCTGCTATAAATTAGGAAAGGGAAAATATACATTAGCACATTAATTTAAATGTATTGAGGTATATAAGTGATGAGAAAAGCAAACTTTTCCTTCATATTTCAGTTAAATCAGTTGCTTATAAAATGCAAATGTGAATAAAATAAGTTTTTTATTGATTGCATTGCCATGTGCTAGGTAATAGTGGCTTTTTAAATGCGGATTGAGTGGTGCATTATAGTTTGAGGAGACGACAGTAACATCAGAAAGTCTTTAACTTGGAGCCAGATGACTTGCGTCCAAATCCTGGCTGTACTGCTTACTAGCTGTGTTACCTTGGATAGGTTATTTATCTTCTCTGTTCTTCACTATCTTTATGTGTAAATTGGAGATGATGCTCATTCCACCTGATAGGGCAGTTGAGACGATTAAATGAGTAAATACCTGTGAACCGCTTGGAGCAGTGCATAGCACATACTTCTCAGTAAGTGGTAGCTAGCTTTAAACCATAAATGTATTTATCCAAGTCTCCACACTTCCTGGGGGAAAAGATTAAGAAACTGAAATTTGAAATACTAAAATTGAAATTGTCTTATATGAATATAATGTTAAAAATCTTTAGTTGGAAAGTTAGTGATTATATGCATGAGTGAACTGAGGTGAAATAGACATTAGTTTGTGAAACATGAAATTCAGGTACAGAGGGCAAATAGGAGAAAAGCAGCGATGGAATGGACCAGCTCAGTCAGTTTTGATTGACTCAGAAGCTCCTACCGTGTGTCCTTCGGACAACTGGGTCAGAAAAAGTCAAGTCCAGTTGACAGATGTGGAATGAAGGAAGGATGGAAACTACTGGGCTCCCCAAGGCGTCTTTCGCTGTCCTGTGGCCTCAGTCACAAAGACCGAGCCTTCAGCCCCCAGGACACTAAAATTACTTAGAGAGGGTTTGCAAAGCCCGTAGAAGAAAGAATGCAGTGGGCTGATACTATGTGATGTGAACTGTAGGTGCAGTATTATTTGAGAAGATTGTACGGAGACTTATTTAAGAGAAGAAGCTTTTTAAAAAAGTGTATTTTCCCCAGATACACACAAAAGAGTATGGTAATTGGGACTAGTCATTCAGTCTTGATCCCAGTTGTCTCTCAGTCAACATGTGTTCTTTTAATTGCAGTTACTGTGTGTGCTGCTAAGTAATAACCACATTCCTTTAGAAATACTCTATAATTTAGTCAGCCTTCAATTGCCCAAATTATTGAAGATTTTTAGTAAGTTAACAGTCCAGAAATATTGTGTTATTTTGTACTGTATAGCTTTGCTTGTGTTCCACATTGATCATCATGATATGTGATAAGGACAACTTACATATTTCAGAAGCTAACATAAAATATATAATAACTGAAGTGTTGTGTTAAGATAATAGAATCTTTAACCTCTGTCAATAGTAACGTGATTCATGACAGCTATCAAATATATAGGTAAAAGTTGGTGGAATGAAAACATACTTGGTCTTATGTCCATCAAAACCCTGAAGACTTAGAAAAGATGATACGGCAGCAATGGAACGCGTAACTCAGATCTGCAGGAAGTAGAGTTGACGGAGACGCAGCTGCTGCCCCGTGGGATCCACCACCATGTTCCTGCCGAGGCCACACTTCCCCAGGCTGTTCCTAGCCAATGAGTGGGTATGACGGGGCTGCAGTGAAGCAGTCTGATGGCCCACTCCCCTGCTGGACGACCTTGGCTCAAGGACTCCTCATTAGCCTGCCCGGAGTTTTCTTAGGACTGTGCTGCTGTCCGAGGCTCTTCCTGCCCAGTCCTCCTCTCCTTCCCTCTCCCTTCACAGGGGTCAGGCTCTGCCTGCTCCTCCCCTCTGGGATTCACAAATGTCTCCCCAGTCCTCCTCTCCTTCCCTCTCCCTTCACAGGGGTCAGGCTCTGCCTGCTCCTCCCCTCTGGGATTCACAAATGTCTCCCCAGTCCTCCTCTCCTTCCCTCTCCCTTCACAGGGGTCAGGCTCTGCCTGCTCCTCCCCTCTGGGATTCACAAATGTCTCCCCAGTCCTCCTCTCCTTCCCTCTCCCTTCACAGGGGTCAGGCTCTGCCTGCTCCTCCCCTCTGGGATTCACAAATGTCTCCCCAGTCCTCCTCTCCTTCCCTCTCCCTTCACAGGGGTCAGGCTCTGCCTGCTCCTCCCCTCTGTAGTTCACAGATGTCTCCCCAGTAAATCTTTTCTACATTTAATCCCATCTTAGCATTTGTTTCTCAGAACTGAAACTAATATGGATAGTTTTAAAAAGAACAACTTATAGATAAATTGTCAGAAAATGTCACACAAAACTTGTGGGTTTTTCTAGTGTAATCATAGTTTAAATAGTTTAATTTTCCATTGCTTGGGGATTTCTGGGAAATTATAGGTTGAGCTTTTATGTACAAGGCTCGCACCATGGAACCTTGTTCATATTAGGCATTTTGCTGGAATTGAATTATGCTCAGCATTTTTTCCTTGCTTTGGTGTCAGTTGCTATGACCTACCATGAGTCAAAATATAACATTACATATTATTAAACTTGTAAGAACAAACCTAAGCCACGTTCTGCTAGTAAATAACACATGTTCTTTCGATGAATAGAATGGTTTATAATGAACAGACTTGGTAATAGTAATAATTAATGATATATCAGCAATTTTAAAGATAATTTCAGAACAGAACAGTAGTTTTTATAAGTATAGGATAAGAATGGCTGCAGGCTGTTAGTCAGCCAACACTTATTGATCAGTTAGAAGGAAAGTAAAATGAAGAGCGCCTGGCAGGTTTGTTCATGCATTCAGTTGATTCTTTCATTTAATCAGTGATTATTTGTCTGCTACGTGCCAGGTGTTCTGCTAGGCTTTGGGTGTTTGGTGTTGGATTAAAGCAAACCCTTGCCATCCTGGCATAAAGTCTGGTGGGTTTGATTTGCACGTGAGAACAGTTCCAAAGGACAGCCGACTGAAGCCTAAATGCATTGCAAGGGACTGTCCTTTGCCTCAACCAACCAAAGGGGCCTTCCTAAGTTTGATGAGACTGTCACTTTCTGGGTTTTTGATACTAGAGGACTCTTCAGAGACCTGTGTTTTCACCTTTTTAAATCTAAACTGACCTTGTGTGGGCCAGGCCCAGTGGCCTAGTGGTTAAGGTCAGTGTCCTCCACTTTGGTGGCCCAGGTTCAGTTCCCAGGTGTGGACCTACACCACTCACCTATCAGTGACCATGCTGTGGTGGCGAGCCACATACGAAATAGAGGAAGACTGGCAACAGGTGGTAGCTCAGGGTGAATCTTTCTCAGCAGAAAATAAACTGACTCTGAGATATTTATTAATCAAGTTAAATACTCATTCTGTGATCATACGTGTTCTGACCTTGCCATAGATCAGCCTCCCTAGACATTGACTAAGAAGATGTGGAGTAAGCAGAGTGATATAATTAAGGTTGCTCAAGCCATTCCTGGCCCGAGAAGAACATTTTTGGTGCATCCCTCTGCACGAACACTGGAGCTAAAGCTGCCCCTGATTTGCCTGAGCCGGGCCTGGCTGCTATGAATGAATTATAAAGGTTGGTGTGTAATCCATGCATATGAGGGTGTGTGTGGATATTGAAGGATATTTATGATTGGTAAGTACTCTGTGTCAGTTCTTTGTGGGCACCTTGTTCTGACTCTTCCCCTTAGATCTTTCACTGTAGAAATAGGTGCCTCATTTTCTCACCCTGCTGACTCGGCCTGAGGCCTAATGTGCTGCTTTTGCGTCTCCCTCTCTTTCTTTTCCTTCTCCTTAGGGCAGGCAATTCCAAATATTTTCTCTAAACCAATTTCCCTCTTCTAATCACCCAAATCTGGGTGGGGAATTAAAGGAAAATGTAGCCTTCTCTGTTACTCAAGGTTTTTAAATAAAGATGACAGAATCTACCCTATTTCAGTGGCTATTAAACTTTTTGGTCTCGGGGCCCTTTTATACTCAATATCTTTTGGGGTCCCTAAATTGTTTAGGACACCAAAGAAGTTTTGTTTGTGTGTGTTATGTGTGTCAATACCTATTATATTAGAATTGAAAACTGAGAAATCTTTAAAATGTTTAAATCATTTAAAAATAACCCAATAATAAACAATTATGTATTAACATAAAATAACATGTTTTTGAACAAATACACTAAAATAACTTTTCCAAAACAAAATAATTACGAAGAGGGCAGTGTTTTGTATTTTTGAATGCTCTTTAATGTCTAACTTAGTAGAAGGCAGCTGTAATCTCGTATCATCTTCATTCAGTCTGTTATGATATTTTGATTGAGGTATAATGAAGAAAAGCTAGCTTCACACAGCTGTGTAGTCAGAAAAGGGAGGATCTCACAGACCCCCTGAAAGGGTCTCGGGGACCCCCAGGGTCCTGGGTCCACATCCTTCCAAGAACTGCTGAGCTAATTTATGTAGAGAGGGAGGTACTAAATGCAGACTCTTTGGAAGGGCTAGCAGAACAGGCTGAGCCTCGAAGACCGGGCTCCAGAACTGCACCGCAGTGCTGGCCAGAGAAGGGAGCTGCTGCCAGAAGTCAGGGTCAGCTGCACCTCTGTAGGCAGGAGCCGCCACCGCCACCACCACCACCACCAGACGCCTGAGGCTGCTGCCACCCACACAGGCAAAGTCAAGTCCCAGTAGCTTTCCTTTCCCCTCTGCTGACCCATTTCTGCATCCTTGTCTTGCATGGGTGGACACTAAAAGTCAGAAGTCTGCATCTTCGTGGAGGCTGGGAGGTGTACTTTTACCAAATTCCACTCAGTGTGGGTAAGACAGGCTCCACATGGGGTGACTATCTGATGCAAAGACAGCGTCAAGAGGATTTTGGGCAGACACAAATATGACTTGTCCACACCGCCACCACCTGAAGAAACTAGTTGAGAATAGTTCCACGGGAGTATACAATATAGAAGTGTAAAATGTATAAAGTATAATACAGACATGTAAAAGTAAGGTTTAAGTAATCCCTAACATGTTAAATGTCTGTTCCTGCTCCTTTGAAGAATGCTTCCACAGGGATTGAGCTTTTGAGCCCATAGTTTATTTTTATGTCTTTTACATAGCTTTGGTTAGTGAATATAAAGATTACTTATGTAAAAGTTGCTTAAAATTCTGTAACATCCTATATTCTTTTCCAATATGGTTTAGATATATTTAGGCCCTGTATTTCTACCTTAGTCTTAGCAGGTGGAATCTTGTCTGAGGCCTTGAAACCGCCAGTACTCCTGATTAGCTGTTGCTGGTGAGAAGGAATTGTGGACAGATTCAGGAGAGAGGTTGGTGGTGGCGGAGTGTGAGAAGGAGGTGGAGAACGAGCTTTCAGAAGGAACTGAGTAGAGAATACTGGAGCCGAAAAGTACGCACAAGGAGACAGGAGTGTCTGCAGGTTGTCTTTAAGTAGCCCCTTTGGAGAAATCTGAATGTATACACTGAGATGTTCCAGACAGTGGACTGAAAGATTGTGTATTTGTTAGCGCAGGAGGGTACTGTGTTCAAATTGGTATCTGCAAATTTAAAGGTACATAAAATTTGCATCCTTGGTTTACCACAGGGCTTCGTGTTTTGTCTCATCACTAAGAGGCTCAGGTAGATCCCTTATATTTAGAAAAGCTTGCACGAGGTTGTATTTTGATAGTGATCCTCTCGTTTAATTCTGGTCGGAAGTGTCAGCACTCCTGAGAGTTGTCTGAGACGGATCGGAGCCCTTGCTTGCACGAGTCGCCGCCCTCTGCATTGTCCAAACGCTGCAGCCTGACAACACACCCCACATCTTTATTTCACAGCTTTCTATTGGTGACGCTGACTAGAATGCCGCCTGCCCTCCTCTGCCAGCACCTCTCTCCTCTCTCTTCTCTCCAGTCCTTTGTGGAGTGAGGCTAGGTATAAATTAGATAAGTGAAATGCCCTTCTCTACAAAACAATGCATGGCTCACGTCAGACCTGATGCTTTTCCAGCTCCTTCCTCCTGACCCTCCCGCCGTGCCCATCACTGCAGTGGCTCCTCGTCCCTCTTGTGGACACGTGGCTGCCCTGTGCACATGTGTACTGTGGTTGTAGTGACCTGCCCTTGTCCTCTATTCCCATTTCCTGGGGAGCTTTTCTGTTCTGTAGGGGTTAGAATGCTGAAGACCGCATTTCTGGTGGGGGTTCTGAGTGCGAGTTAAGTCCTGCCATTAGATGCTCTTGCTGAGGTTTGAAAGGGTGCGGGGCAGGGCCATCGTCCTTTACGGCTGGCAGCACAGCGTGGAGAGCTAGACTGCCTGCAGCAGCACTCCAGTGTCTGCTCACTAGCCTTGCGGGGTCGAGAGGCACCGCAGGAGTGGCGTCCGAGACTCCTGGTTCCTGGCTGGCTTCTCTGTCAGTGTGTTCTTGTACTGAGCAGTTCCAGACAGACACTTGTAGTGCCCCCCCTTCCTCAGTGTGGCAGAGGGGACAGCCCCCACCCCACAATAAGCCGCTTTGGCCATCTTTTTCTTGAAGTTATTCCTGGAAGTCCACTTGAGTCTGCCCACCTGTCCCTTCCAGAAATATTTTCAGCACTTAAATACCTTTCTGTTTAGAATAACTGGAGAGGTTTCTAATTCCTGTGGGAAACTGACCATCAAGGTATTTATCTGTGAGTAGACCAGTTATGTCACGTCCTTTCTTCCTAGACTCTATATCCCCTTTTCTCTATATGAGCTACATGACCCCACCCCCATGGCAGTCCCTACCTCGGCCGACAAGTCCAGAAGGATAGAAAGAGGAACAGAGGGGTGGAAATTATTAAAGAATCAATACAAGACCACTTAGCAGAATCGAAGGATATATTACCAGACTAAAGAGGCCGGCCAGTACCGATTCCAAGTCATTGTGAAATGGCAGACTATCAGAGATAAAAAGAACTTCAAAAAGTTTCCAAAGAAGAGGAAAAAAAGTTACATAGGAAAAACCAAATGGTAGTAAAGTTTCCAACAGAACACTAAGAAATAGTAAAGTGATCTGATCAAAATTTTGACAGCAAATTCTTTTATTTAGAATTCAGTATAGCCTGCCAATCAAGTGTGAGCATAGGATATACGCAATCAAGTATGAGAATAGAATAAAACATTTTCGAACAGCAAGGCCTAGCGGAAAAAACCAACTTTGCTCCCATGTCCTTCATCTTAGGAAACAACTGATGGATGTGCTTTAGCAAAGAGAACATAAACCAAAAAAGGAAGAATAAATGGGATCTAGGCAGCAAGAGATTCAAACAAGGGGTGCAGTAAAGGGAAGTTCCAGGACACAGCTGTGCAGCGGCCCCGA